CCACTGAGATTCCCCAACAAAGGTCCTCAGAGGGAACGGGATGTGACTCAATTGGTAGAGTGTGAGGCTTGAGTTTGTCTGTCTGTCTATCTGTCTTTCCCTCTCCTCTCTTTCCTCTCTCTCTTTTTCTCTCTCTCCTCTCTTTCCTCTGTCTTTCTCTTTCTCACACCCACACACACCCACACACATACACACACATACACACCCAAACCCCCCCCCACACACACACACACACACTCTCGGCAGGGTGTGTAAGCATGTGCCTAGCCACCATGACAGGAAGCAGGTGTGTGAGGAGCCACGAAACCCACAGTGTCCCCAGGCTCCACTCAGGGGATCAGCATCTGAACCCACACACCTCGGCTCTAGTTCTCAGGGACTTCTGGGGTCAAAGGAAACTCAAAGCCCCACAGCCCCACCTCTACAAGCAGCTGAGAGGCCTGTGTCCCGGCTCTGTGGGGTGGGGTCACATGGGGCATGTTGAAGATACACGCTAGATGTGCCTCTTGCGGCCCACGCCTTGCCCATCTCAGGGCTCCATGTTCACGAGACCGTAGAAAGCCGGGTCCAGGGCCCAGTGAAGGGCAGAGCCTTGCTATGGGCAGGCTCCTGGTGCAAGCGTTGACTCCTTCATGCCTAGTACCTCCCAACAAAAGCAGATTTACTATCACTGATTTGTTTTCCTCCTTGATGTTTTGACCAGCCTCAGAGGCTCTGTGCTAGGGAGTGACCCCAAGAGGTGCTTGGGGGACCATTTGTGGCACCTGAGATCAAACCAGTGCAAGGTAAATCACTTCACTCCTACAGTATCTCTCTCTGGACCCTAGAATCTACTTCTCACTGCAGAGGGAACATAAACAGAGTTAAATATGTCTCAAAAGTGATGGGTAACAGGGGTGACGTTCAACCAAGGGTGGTTCCAGAGATCTGTTCGGAAAGGCGCTACTAAAATAAGCCCCCCAAGCCACCTTCTTCTTATCACTATGTTGCAAAAGAGAAGCCCACTCTTCAGGGGAGTGACACAAAGAAAAGCTTCTCAGAGACAAGGGGTGGGGGACAGAACCAGGGGGCACTGGGCTCAGAGTGGAAATGACCAAGGCAAGGCGAGGGGATGCGCCAGAGCCTGTGAGGACCAGACACTGGTGAGCTGGGTAGCCCACCACGCCCCCCTCATCCATTCTGCGGCCCCACACACACTGCTCACTGTCCTAAATGCAATGCACAGACACAACTCTTCCAGCATTCTTCGGCGTCTGCTTCCAAGAGAAATCCCACTTCCCAACTCACATATTTAAGCTTCTATGTGATATTTTACTTGATGGATATATATTGTTGTGGGGGGACCACACCCGGTCGTGGCAGGGTTGGAGTAGCCATCCATGCAATCGGCTCAGGTTCCATCCCCAGCATCCTATATGGTCCCCCGAACCAGCCAGGAGTGATTCCTAAGTGCAGAGCCAGGAGTGTCTCCTGAGCACCGCTGGGTGTGGCCATAAAACAACAACAACAACAAAAAGACAACAACCAAAAAAAAAAAAAAAAGAGGGTCCTGAGCTGTAGCACTAACCCCTAGGACAGAAAACTTCAAAGGCAGGACAGAGAGATCTATATCCTAACCCCACCCCTTCCAACGCAGAAGGCTGGGCTGCGCTGAATTATGGTCTAGTTCTTAGAAAACAGCTACAGCCACAGCATTTAATGGGTTCCTGCTTCCAGCACAACGTGTTCCTCCCATCTCCCGATAAAGAGCTTTCTCTCGAGCTCTGTCATCAAACTGATCATTTCACTGTCTGGAAAATTATCTTCGCCTGACCTTTCCCCATCCTAGAATCCCCCTGGCCTTTCCAGTTTCTCCCTCTCCAGGGTTGCCAAAATGTGTCCTCCAGTTCACCAGTTTTAAGAGGCACCTGAGATGAACTTCTTGCCTTTCAATGTTGGAGGCCGCATGTTATCTTAACACAAAGAAAGAAACATTCCAAAGCCCACACAATCCAAACCTGTGAGTTCATAGTGCTTCAGATTAAAAGAGGAAAAATAAAAGAATAAAGATCTTTTTTTCTTTACGTTCAAAATAGTAATACTTTGGGAAACCTTCTCCTTTCTGGTCCTTTTTAAGGGTGCCCCAGGGTTTCAGCCAAGCTTCTCTGCCCCACCCACAGACACCCACTCTACCTGAACTGTGTACCCCAAGACCCCGTTCCTCCTGCCAATTCTCATCTGGGGTACCCACCACTTTACCCCAGTACAGGCTTCCTCCCAGAAGAATCAGGATTCTTCTAGGCTCCCAGCATCATCTTCCTAAGCATCTTCCACCTACTACAGGGCTACACTAACTGCCGTTTTGCAACAGTGTCTCTCTACACCCAGCCCTGTGTGAAACAGAATCCTGGTGGGTCACCCTCGATGTCCTTTCTCTTTGAGCACAAATCAGAAAGGTGAGGATGCCTCCAAGTGCTGAATGAAATGAACTGCCGGGAGAGGGCCGCTGACTCGGGCCTCGACATCTCCTTCCTGCAGGCCACGTCTCTTAGCCCCTTAGGAGAGAGTGGATCTCCTCCTCTCTAAGGAACAGAGAAATTCTATGCACCTGTGGGATCCATGGGGTCCCCTGGCTGATGGGCATGGGACAGGAGGCCGCAGTCAGCCCAGGTGTGCCCTGTCCATCCCTAAGCATCAGGATTCTTCCTGGGGCAGATGCAACTGTCCCGGCTCTCAACAAGGCACCGCGTGGCCGCAGCAGCCTCCAGGAAGAATGTGCCAGATGAACAAGTAGAACTCCCTCCCTTCATGGCTTTGATTCATCCGATGACTTGAATCTTTCTGCTCCTCAAGTGTTTAATGGGTTCAATGCCTGTCACAGCTGATCCCTGCCTGCTAGAAAGCACAAGAGATAAACAACGCTGAAAGCACCTTAACTCATTCTGGACAATTAAGATGCCAGCAGCACAGCACCGGAGTCTGCTGGGAGGCAGGGGGCTCCATTCCCACGGTCAGGCGGTGGGAAAGAGAAGGGGACGCCCGACTTTCACCCTCTAGCTCCAGTCACGTGACCTCGGGGATGCACAGGCTCGTCCGAGACTCAGTGTCTCTGTCTGTCAGGCAGTCTTGGACACTCAATGAACTGTTCTCAGCCCGTTCCCACCTGAATCTGAGCACCTTAGAAAATGATAACCCAGCAGAAAAGGCCCACGGCACAAAGCACAGCACCCTAGAAGTGCTCAAAGTGGGGTGCCCTGGGGCTCAAAGGTCAGGAGACTCCTTCCTCCCCCCGCCCCCCAGCTAAACAGCACCAGCCACACTCAGCCACTTCTCCCTGCCAACCGAGACAGCCGTGATGAATGAGAAGCTGTTCCTTCTCCCTGCTCTGTCCAGCTCTGCTCTGCAAACACAGCCCAGGCCCCCTGTCCTCACGAGCCAGGTTTGTTCTTTCCCTTCCTGTTCTCAAACAATAATAACAACCTCAAAACCACAAGCTTTTCGTTTTAGGTCCTGACTCTAGAGTGACTTACTTTTCAGCTCTCCCTCCCACAGGCCCCAATCCACGGGTGGAGAGACCACGGGAAGCATGTGGCAGGGCTGGGAGGGAGGCTGAAGTAAGGGGCACTGGTGAATGCAATATAATGGAACAGCCCTGTGTGCTCTGGGGAGCCATCAAATTTGCCTCCTTCTCAAAGTGTAAGCCGCAAATCTCCTCGGGTGGCACTTGGTGTGGTTTGCTGGCGCTCTCCTGTATGTCTGTAGCATGGTTTGGGCAACGACACCACAGTGGGAAAATAAAGAGAAGCAAGTTTGGGTTTGATTTTGTTTTCCTAGATAGCCCTCCAAGTCCATCTCCCTGAAAAGTACGTAGAAATAAGCAAGCTACAACCTGAGGACAATCGGGAAGTCATTTTTGTGTTCCACGATTTCAAGGCGACTCCTCTACACCTCTCCTCACAGATGAGCTTTTGCTCTAGACCAAGGAACTCAGAAAATACACAACAGGGGCCATGCTTGCTCACTGGAAACATGCAATCAATCTGAAAACAGTGAAATCCGTTTCCTAACTGGACACCTTCCATCCAAGAATAGCTCAGGGCCACTTCTCCCTGTTTCTCTGGGTGCTGGCCGAGGTTGAAGGATTTGCCCATGAGGATCTGGACCAGGCCTATTTCCAAGTCCCTCATATGTTGACATCGTAATCAATGAAGTCCAAGTCAGACTTGGGAATAGTATCTCATTGAACAGTATCTTGACAATCCAAACAGGGGAACAATGCAACTTTCTGTTGGACTCGGCCCTGACTGCCAAGTGCTCACAAGCAGAACCATTTTTAAAACATGAGGCTCCTTCTGGATGGCTGGGCCATGCCCTGCATGGAAGCAAGCTTGGCTGCTGCTTCTGGCTCGGGAGGGGGCCCTGGGAGGCAACACATTTTTCTCTGTGTTACAGAAGATGAGCTCAGCCCCACGCCACAGAACAGAAACAGGCTTGCTTCCTCCGAGAGGGAGGCAGCACAGGACAAAGCCAGGCCGTGCTAGAAAGCTTCTGACCACGGCTGCACGTGTCTCTCCAAGGACGGAGGAACTCACCCACACACACACAGTCGCACCCAGCTGGCCCCCCAAAAGCCTGGGAAGGCGCTGGCTTGTCAGCCAACCTCGGTTCAGTTCAACACAGCGATTGGGGCTCCGGGGGCTGGAGATCACCCTGCAGCAGCCCCTGTCTGGAGCTGGGTGGGGGGACTGTACCCTCTTTCCAAGTGTCATCTTCCTGCCCCGTACCTGCTTCTCCCCCACTCCACAGTGGACTGTGCTTTCCCCACGGTAACTAATGCACGCACCCAGTAGGCAGTCAGCTTCCAGCAGTATCACCCCACTCCATCACCGTGCCAAGGCCCTGGGTCTTACACACACACACACACACACACACACACACACACACACACACACACACACACACACACACATAAAACACACAGGAGCTCCTGGCCCCAGCGGCGGGCGGGCGCCCGCACTCACCCAGTCCTCAAAGTGGCGACTCCCGTTCTGCAGCAGCTCCTCGAACTGGATGGTGCAGTTGGCCACGAAGTCGTCGTAGCCGATGGGGGCATCGTGGAAGACGGCCAGCTCGATCTTGCGCCCATTGCACACGTCGGTGACGAACTCGTCGTGCCAGGCCGGGCTGTTGGTCTTCTGTTTGGTGGCCGTTTGGCCGATGCGCGAGTCATCCACGTTGAGGGCGATGTAGGGGTCGAGGAGAAAAGTCTGTGGCCGGGGCCCCACCGCATGGCGCAGTGACCAGGCAGTGGGCTTCAAGCTCACGGCCTCGCAGATTTTTATCTTAAGCAGGCCATTGAACACTACCATGGTCGGCGCGGGGCGTGCGGGTCGGGCTCACTCCGTCCGCCCCGAGGGCAGCAATGAAGAAGCGCCTCCGGGGGAGGCGGCGGGGACTCCGGGGGTCCCCAGGCGCCCCAGCCCTCGCTCTGTCCCTACACCTGGCAGCGCGGCGCCCCGGCGCGGGCGGCTCCCAGCCGGTGCATGGATTTCCTCGCCGGGTTCCTAACGGAAAACAGGGCGGAGGGGCGAGCCGGGGGCCGTCCGCGTCGGCGGCGAGCCTCTGCCCCCGGGTGCCGGCGCGGCGGCGCGGCGCGGGGGCCTGTCCGGGGCGGCGCGCCCGGCGCTCACCTACCTTTCCGACACATAATCCCGGGGAAATTTCGACTCCGGGAGCGGGAGGGGGCGGCGGGACGGGGCGGGGACGAGAACCGGGGGCGCAGATTCCAACCCGGATCCTCTTCGCACGGCGCGCGGGGCGGGGATGCCGCGAGGGATGTGCAGTCTACCCGGAGGGATGCATGTCGCGAGCCGACGAGCCTCCGCGCAGCCAAAATCGGTTTGGGTATTTTTTTCTTTTTCTTTTTTTCACCCCCCTTTTTTGGCTTTGAAATCCACGAGCCGCACGGCCAGCTCGGGCCGCGGTGTCCGGGGCGCAGCTCACATGGGCGCGGGCAGGGGCGCAGGCCGGCACCGGGCGGTGCGCAGCGCGGCGGCGGGCCCGGGACTGCGCCTCGGCGCGGCCCCACCTCCTGGGCGCCCGCCCGCCCGCCCGCCGCGCTCGCCGCGTCCCCGCGCTGCCCGCGCTGGCCTCCGGGCCGTGGCCGCGCCGGCGAGCCGCCTCCCACCGATGCAGGAAATGCGCAAAAGACGTCAGTGTGTGTGTGTGTGTGCGTGCAAGTGTGTGTGCGCGCGTCTGTGCGCGCAAGTGTGTGCGCGCGCGTGTGTGTGCGCGTGTCTGTGTGTGTGCGTGTCTGTGTGTGTGTGTGTGTCTGTGTGTGAGTGTGTGTGTGCACGCGCGCGCGCTCCTGTGTTGGGGGAAATAGAAAGTTTTGCCGGTTGGGGGAGCAATCCGGGAAAAGTGAGCTGAGCAGCGGACGCCGGCGAGCTGGCCAGCCGGCCCGGGGGTGCCCCTGCCCGCCGCACCTCTCCCCGGCGCCGTGGGGGAGGGGCGCCCTGCAGAGGCCGCGGGACCCTCCCCCGGCCCCACCCCCGCCCGGGCCGCGGCGGGCCCGGGGAACCCGCCGAGCATTGGCCCGTCGGTCTGTCATTCCGTCCGCGGGAGGGGACGGAGGGCGGGAGCGCCGGGCGAGGCTCCCGCTGGAGTTTTTCCAGCGTTTCTTCCTCCGTCCCTTTCTGGGCGGGGAGCGCCCTCCCCCTGGGGGTCCGTCCGGGGCTTGGCCGGCTGGCCGGAGAACTTGTAGCACCCGGGGAGGGTTGGGTTTTGTTTTTATGTTTTTATTTATTTTGCAAAGTGACTTAGGAATATGAAGTCTGGACCTTGCCGGAGCCCCCTTTTTTGGGGGAGGGTGGGTGCGAGGTGGGGGGGGGGGGACAGTGGCTTGGCTCGCGCTGACCGCGGCCGTCGAGCAGGTGGGCGCGCGGGGGGCGGTGGAGGCGCCGTGTCCGCGCCGGTTTCCTCCGTAACCTTTAAACTCTCGCCGGGAGCCGCGGCGGCCAGTCACGTGAGGCCAGCCCTGGGCGGCCGGGGAGGAATGTCCTCGGCGGGGACCGGGCCGGGAGGGCGCCGGGAGCCCCTGGGGACGGCGCCGAGGCTGGGTCATCCCCGCAACCTGCAGCCCGGGGGCCGTGCAGGCGGGAAAAGGAAGCCGCGGGTGCCAGAGGATTCATCCGGCCCGGCCTGCTTAGCGTGAACCGAATCAGAACCCACCTTCCCCTCCGGACCCCAGGGGAGGAAGGTGACCGTCGCCTGTGTGTGGCTTCGGACTTGCAAGGCTAACCCAGAGGCGCGGCTGTCCGGGTCGCCAAACAAAACCTGGACCGGCTGGATGGAGCCCCCGGGTGGCTGCCACCCAGGGAGGTGCAGGTTTCTCCGAGCACGCCGGCAGCTGCGGGGATGGTGCAGACAGACACACAGACTGAGGGAAGTCGAGATCTTGCCGGTAATAAACAGTCAGGGGGGAGAGAAGTTCTGACTCTCCTGGCCGCTCCCCCGCTGCCGCTTCTTAGACCACGCGGGCAGAGGAGCCCAGGGCTGTTTGATCTTTATGTCTTTGATCACCGCACCTCCTGGCCTCCTTCCCTTATTCTTCCCTTACTCAACTTTCCCCTGCCATGTGGGGGAAGGTGGCAGCAAGTAGGGCTTGATCTTCTACACTTGCAGCTGCGAAGCAGGGCCTGTGCTAGCCAGAGGCCTGAGACAGAGTTATATTATTGTGGAAGAGAATTAGAAAGCTACCAAGAAACTGACCCGATAGCTCAGTGAGATGTTTATGCTTGTTTTGGGGAGGGGGCACGCCTAGAAGTGCCCAGGACCTGCTCCGGGCCAGCTGCTGTGGAGGTTTCTCCTGGCAGTGCCCAGGAAACCTGGTAATTTGGGTTCCCATATGAGGCCGGAAGCCAAGCCTCCTACATGAGTGTAGGTACACTAGTCTTTGGAGCATATCCCAGGCCCGTATAGATATTTTCCCCCTAAAAGTAAATGAATGTAAAAATTCCAGATGAACATAACATCCAAATGTTAAGTGATAGTAAGAACTGCACTAAAATGCTATTAATATTGCTAATTGTACTGGCACCCATTACATTTTGTACTTCAGTAAGTATCTTCCTGCCTTGACCCTAGCCCTTGCTTTCTTGGAAAGTCTTGAAAGGTGAGGTTTTTGTGAAGTTAGGGATCCTTGAGAAATTGGGGGTTTATCATTTCTCTCTTCTCTTTCTCCAGTGAATCCTACTTACTGAACAAACAGCAACAAACGCAAGATTGAAAAATATTGACCCACATCTTTTCTTGGTGTTAATGAGGAAATACATTTAGTAGTTTATGGCCCACTATACTTGGTGTGATCACCTAATGATCCTCTTTCCAGGGAGGACCCCCATACTAGAATAAATCGGGTCTGTGGTCATCTCCATGACTAAACAATCTTATAACCAGCACCCTGCAAACTTCCCACAACACTGCCTGACTTCCCAAGATGTGGAAGGGCAGTAAGGCCTCCTCGATGGCCAAAGTCCACACCAAACCACACTTCCCAGATGCCACCTCTGCCCACCTGTGTCACCTCTCCTTTCAAGCCCAAGTCAGGGAGGGGAGGAGGCAGAGGACGGGGAAGGCCCAACTGAACGTCTTGCCAGCCCAAATGCTGTTTTGTGCCCGATGAATATTTAAGTTAAGAGAGACCAATGCCAGGCTAGAGCGAGCAATAGCACAGCGTGTGTTTGCCTTGCACACGGCCAACCCAGGTTTGATTCCCAGCATCCCGTATGGTCCCCAGAGCACCGCCAGGAGTAATTCCTGAGTGCAGAACCAGGAGTAACCCCTGAGCATCTCTGGGTGTGACCCAAAAAGAAAAAAAAAAGAGGGACCAGAGCCAGAGCTATGGTACAGTTGGTAGGGTCTGTCCCTTGCATACGGCTGGCTGACCCAGATTCAATCCCTGGTACCCCACATGGTCCCCCTAAATAGACTAGGAATGATCCCCGAACACAGAGCCAGGTGTAAACCCTTTTTTAGATCACCAGGTGTGCTTCCAACACTCCCGCCACCAGAAAAAAAAAAACCTACCTTTGGGCTGGAGCGATAGCACAGCAGGTAGGGCGTTTGCCTTGCACGCAGCCAACATGACCGACCGAAGTTCGATACCTCCGCCCCTCTTGGAGAGCCGGGCAAGCTACCGAGAGTATCTTGCCCACACGGCAAATCCTGGCAAGCTACCCATGACGTATTCGATATGCCAAACACAGTAACAACAAAGTCTCCAATGGAGACGTTACTGGGCCCGCTGGAGCAAATCGATGAACAACAGAGGACAGTAACAGGGCTGGAGAGATAGTACAACAGGTACCGCACTTTCCTTGTACACGGCTGACCCGGGTTAGATCCTCAGCATCCCACATGGTCCCCCAACACCAGGAGTGACCCCTGAGCATCACCAAGTGTGAACCAAAATAAATCAATAATTTTTTTTTAAAATAGAGCATGCTGGTATCCTGTGTATAAACATTCCTAGTTTCCTGCTTTTAGTCCACACTTTTTTCTAAATAAACGTCCCTCACTTCCCTCCCTCGAACCTAGCCCAAGAGTTCTCTGCAGCCACCAGAGAGATGCGGTAAGTGTGGCTGGTTGGAGAAATGCCTTGAATGTACCTGGTGGACGGAGTAAAAATAAGCCTCTGCTCCAATTTTCATTTGAAAAGAAAAAAAAAACAGGTCCATGCAGGTGAAGGTTTCTGGGGTGAACGTCCCCTCAGTAACTGTGGCCTGCTTCTTCCTTCTCTGGCCCCTGTGCACAGGGCTGATAGACAGGGCAGCAACTGACCAGAGGCAAGTGCCCCTTAGAGACAACTGTGGCCTAGTGATCTTGTCAGTGCTGGGAGAACAGGGATGGAAGCTTGAAGGGTGATAGCAGAACTGATGGTTAAGATGGTATCCCCTCTTTTAAAAACTAGGGTTCATTTCAAAAGGACACATGCACACCATTACTCACTGATGTTTTTGGTTCAATAGCTAAGATATGCCCAATGATTCTATTGGGTGAATTATGAAGATGGGGCAGATACACACAATGGAATACTACCCAGCTGCAAGGAAAGAGGAAATCATGTAATTTGCTGCAACACAAATGGAACTGGAAAATACCACGTTAAATGATGTTAGGACAAGGACAAACACAGGATGATATCACTTATATGCAGGATATAGAATGACCTGGTGGGGGGTGGGGGATGATGCCAAGTTCACCCTAGACCCCAGAGCATAGGAAGGAGAAAGACAGAAAAGGAAAGAAATCAAGGGGGGAGAAGAAAAAAGGACAAGAAACAGCAGGGGACAGAGGTCAAGGGGACTCGGGGACAAAGGTGGTGTGGAACAGCTCCCTGTCCAAACCAGAGCACCAGCAACAGGACAGGATGAATCCAAACCACAACAACCAAACTTTAAAGCATGCCTGATGAGGAGGCAGGCTGGGGTCAGGGTTGGGGGCTTGTGAGAGGGAACCTGGGGACAACCTGGAATAATCTCACGTGGTGAGATTAGTATTGGAACAACGTGCACCTAAACTTCAACTTTGTAAATCGCAGTGCTTTAATGAAATAAGAATTTTTAAATATAGGAGACAAAAAACAAACCAAAAGAAAAACCAGACAAATGAACGCAACATGTTATACAGTGTACTAAAATTTAGTTTGCAATTAGGGATACATGGTTTTAGACTTTCTTCTAGGATAATCATAAAAATTAGAAGTGGTAGAGGGGTGATGTGTCTTCATATCGAAACTATAGAGACAACACCACTGGAAGCATGAGATCCAAGTGACAATAACCAAACACAAAAATGTTCTTGCCGAGGAGGCAGGCTGAGGGGTGGGTGGGAACCTGGGGACACTGGAGGAGGAAAGTGTCC